TTCTACCACTCCGTTCACGATTTCAATCACGTGTGGCCTCCAGTGACCCAGCGCGGCCGTCGACGGTTTGGTAGTTTCCTAGCGGGAACTGTAAAGAAACCCCCCCACACGTCCAATGAAATGCATCGAAAAAAATAATAAAAACAAAGAAAACCAAAACTTGACGTGATAGCTCGTGACTTTGCGTCCAATGTTTCGCCGGAGTTTCACCGACTTATGAGGAGGTGAATAATATGTCTATATATATATATATAAATATATATATTCATATACATATACATATACATATATATATACAACAAGGATATATACAAATACAGAAGAATATGCGTATACAGAAGGATATATATGTAAATATACATATACATATAGTATTATATATATATATATATCCATATGTTGGGTAGTCTCGGGAGCATCCCGTGTTGGAAACCTGGTCCAGCGAGTCAGCGATCCTTTGGGTAATTTGACAATTTCAAAATTAAGTGTGTGGACATTGAGATGTTTGTGACTGCACAAGACTGCATGACCTGCCTGAAAAGAAAACACGAAGCCAAAAAATATAACATTCCTGCGACTTTGTGCAGAACTGTTGTGAACTTGGTTGTTTCAACTTGTTTGTCAATTATCAATTCTTCGTGAACGGTGTAAGTTCGTGCAACACACATACGTAGACAATAATATGCACGCCCATACATGCAACACAGACTATACAAGGAGGGACCTCTGTCTGCCCGGCAACACAGAAATAGTACACGATGCACACAAACAGAGTAGGCAACGGAAAATTCCTGAAAACACTATGCACGACTGTGGAGATAACATTGCGTGTTTAAACCGTGTTTCTCACTCTCTGACAGTACTCTCAAGACTCCCAATAGTGCCAACAAGTGGCAACAACCAATCACAAAAAGATACCTCATCCATGATCCTGCATCTGACCTCTGCCTGCCCGGCTATAGGCTCTCATGCTACGAGCCTAGGCCAAGGGCCTCCCGTCCTAGTGGTAGCCCGGGTCGCGGTCGACAGTATCTCTCTCTCTCTCTCTGTGTGTGTGTGTGTGTGTGTGTTTCTATCTCTCCAATTCCAGGAGATATCAACGCCGCGTCGTAGACAACAAAATCCCAGCAATCACGATAAGATAGTTGAGGGGCTGCAAGTGTGACACGAAATAACTGCACGATTGAGCGGATATGTAGCAACATCCCTACGACCTCTGCCTGCCCGGCTTTAGGCTCTCATGCTACGGGCCTAGGCCAAGGGCCTCCCGTCCTAGTGGTAGCCCGGGCCGAGGTCACCACTCTCTCTCTCTCTCTCTCTCTCTCTCTCTCTCTCTCTCTCTCTCTCTCTCTCTCCAAGTCCAGGAGATATCACCGTCATGTCGTCGACAACAATATCCCATGCCAACCACGATAAGATACCTGCGAGGCTGCAAGGGTGCCAAGAGAAAACTGCTATGTTGAGCGGATATGTAACAACATCCTTACGACCTTTGCCTGCCCGGCTATAGGCTCTCATGCTACGGGCCTAGGCCAAGGGCCTCCCGTCTTAGTGGTAGCCCAGGGCGAGGTCGACACTCTCTCTCTCTCTCTCCGTTGCCGATCGATGAGCCATGTGTTTCTTGAAGAGTGGCCTCCATTCTGCGCAGCAGCCGCTGTGCCTGAGCTCGCTGATCAATGGGGGCAAGAATCGTCACCGATGTTGTGCCTTGCAGTACCTGGCCGGATGGCCCGAGTCGTGTTCTCGGTCTCACTCGTCGCCCTCCTCCAATATCTCCGTCCGTCCCCCGAGGTTCAGGCACGTAATCAGAGTCCCCCGCATCATCAGTGCCTGTGGTCTCTCCCGGGCGACATGCGTGYTGTCGTCGTGGACGATAAGTACACTGCCACGTCTCTTCTGACCTGCCACTGCATGTCCTACAGTGCCTGTAGTGCCTGCACCCTCCTTGCAGACGCTGTCCGCCCCCGCAGGCCTCTCTCCAACATCCAACGCAGCGCCATCAGGTGCAATCTCTCCGTCCTCGAGAGGCGCAACACCGAATCGCCCAATGTGGGATCGCATACGTGGTGACGAGCGTGACGCCTTCCTTTCCGAAGCCTTCTTCCTTGCTCGAGAAAGACTCACCTTCGTGGCCCTCATAGCATGGACATCAGAGGTCTTCGTCGGCAAGGCGCTCCCATGTCGGTCCTCATGCTCTGACATGGCGGTGTGGCGAGCACCGTTGACACTCCCGATGGATCGTGTCCCCATACAAGGTGCAGAGGGTCTGCCTGCAATCCGGGCTCCGGGCTCGTCCAACCCCCCAGCACTGCCCTTAGTGGCATAGAATGCCACTGTCGGCAAAACAGTGGCTCTGTCGCGCCGTGCTGTCGTCGAGGACCCGATCGCAGGCTGTCGTGTGGTGTCCATCATGTCCGTGGCGGGGACGCCGTAACTTCGTCGGAAGTACCGCTAACGGGGTGATGCTCTGATCTCGACGGCGGACTTGAGGGTCTTGCTGATCTGCCGGCTGCGTCATCTGCCCCGCCTACACACCCTCCCTCAGGAACGCCAAAGGAATCGAACAAAATGCGGGGTGCGATGCTGCGGTGACCGCCGCGGTGATGTCAAGTAGTTGTCTCGGCCTTCCCAAGGTCCACCTCATGTGGCCTGCCAACACGAAAAATCGTGGGCGTGGCAGAAACAATCGTATCGCCTCCAAACTCGTCAAACGTGCCTGGTGCGCGTTCCATGGCGACGGACTGTTGCAGGTTGGGCGTTGGCACGTGGGGCAGACCCGCAGATATCAACGTCGACAAGTCCGGGAGCGAGGCGAGCGCCGAGTCCATGGCCAGTAAATCGGCGGTACAAGGAAGACTCCCGATGGGGCACTCCATGCCGACAAAGGCAACGGCGATATGCTCAGCGGCGGGAGTGCGTGAGACGACCACGTCCGCGAGATCGTCGCCTAGACACACATCAACAGTCCCCTCCGTCAATGCACGCGGTGACCGCTACACAGTGTCAACTGCATCGGCTCCCTGTGTGCTTGGTGGCTGCCTCTCAACCCCCTCCATGCCTACATCGGGATGATCATCCAAAGCACTGGGAGCCGGCGGCAAAGTCTCTCGCTCCGCCGCTGACAGCGGTAGTCGCACATCGGAGCTTGCTACAACCAACAATGCAGGCGCTCCAGCAGAAGTGAGCTGATGCATTGAATGAGCAAAACCCTCGTCATCCATCACCGGGAGAACATCGTTGTCTCCCTTCAACTCGGGATGACGCATCAACGGTCCCTGACCCAATTCCGATTCCTGGATTGCTGCCGAGGACCCCGTCGGAGCTATCGCGTGCATACTGAAAGTGTCACTTCCGGCATGACTGGTCCCGTCAATCACCTCCATCCGCTCCTCGTCGGCATGGTCGCTCAAAGAGTCCTCTGAAACATGAATCTGCTCAAATTGAGGGACTGCTGCTCTTGGAATGTCGGGAMCCCCGCCATGATGTCTGCGCACACAGAAAGCGATAGTGTCTCGTTCCCTGGGTACGCGCTTCAAGCGCCTCAAGCCACCGCTGTCCACAAGTCCTGCACCACCATCAGTCGCTCCATCTCGCACCCTGTCCGAGGCTGTTCGGTGCTCGCCTCCCGCCCCCTGGACGTCCATGGTGTCACCGTCTGCAGGTCTCGAGGCCACTGCACCGCTCCTTGCATCAGCGTCACCCTCAACACAGCAATGTCCCGCTCCCTCGTCAAGCCCTCTATCGTCGTCTCTCCGTGTCGAGCGGGGTCATGTCTGATCTCCCCCATCACCACGATCATCGCCTCCGGAGCCGTCATCGTCGTCCACGTCTGGGTGACGGTCGTCGAAATCGTTGTCGCCATCCTGTGCAAGCGTGCCACTGCCGAAGAAATCCTCATCGTCACTCGACGAGCTCTCGTACAAAAAGTCTCCCTCCTCCCATCGCTGGCGAGGCTTGCGTACAAGCTGGTCCGCCGTCACTCCACGACTCGCGACACTCCTCCTCCCGTCAGGACCTCCACGCCCGCCTCGCCCACGACCGGCCCGACGACCACCTCCGCGACCACCTCCACGACGTCTCCTCCTGTCTGACTCTCACAAACGACGAGCGGCTCCCATGCGGGACACGGCACGCATCCTCTCTCTAGCGTGCAACAACTCCTCATGCGTCACCGCAACACGGGCTCCTCTGTCGGCGACAAGCTGCTGGTCAGTGGGCACCTCCTCCTCCACCTGCTGCCAATAGTGCACCCAGCTCCCGTATGGATGTGGCCTGTCGTTGGGAGCATCGTCCGACATACCCTGCCTGTCGAGGAGTCGAAGGTTCCCGTGGCATCGCACGAGCTTCTTGGCCCGTGCCACCTCCAATCTGTTTCGGGATTTGGAGTGGATGAAGCTGGAGCAGGACCATGCTCGCTCGCAGGGCGATGCAGTCGCCCACACACGCAGTATCCTGCCGGCAAAGAAGGCTGTGTGCGGGAACCTCTTCTCCTTCGACTCCCAAAACGTGGTTGGATGGGTGTAGCTCCTCGCCGCTCGGTCCATGGCCACGTCGTCGAACGGCGGTTCCCTGGTGTGAAACTTGTCAACGGCAGCCAGCACCTCGTTGTGCTGATCCGAACCCTCCGGGTACCCGAACTGAACAAGAGCGACTTTCAAACCCTGTTGCATCTCGTCGTCGTCTGGCATCGTGAGCTCTCTGGGATCCAACATCATGGCAGCAATATGAGCAGGCGACTTGAACATTTTGCGGTGTCTGTCAAACACTTCGAGAACTGCGTCCTGCTCATCCCTGTCAAACGAGGCACATGCTGACAAACAACGCACGATCATCTCGTCGTACCGATGCAAAATCTTGCCAATCTGCCTCGTGTCACTGTCCACCATCTGCAACATGTCCATGATGGGATCCAACAACTTGCACAACGCCGTCATATCCTCCCACCACCGAGGACAACCGACACATGTTGTGACCTCCGCGGCGTTGTCTCTAATCTTTTTCGTCGCCCAAACAGTGTCCTTCCACCGATCGTCGATCACCACCCTCATGAGATGCGATTGCAACCTAAGAAGCTGCCGCATCATAATGACATGCGTGTCGAAGCGAGTCTCGGCAAGAAGCAACAGTGCTGCCGTCGAGGAAGATTGCAAAACCTCGCGAGCATGGCTATGGCGCTTGAAAAACTTTGTGACCACCCGCGCCTGAGCAATGCGGGTCGCCACCCACTCAATGTCGCCGATATCCTCGAGGATGAGGTCCATGACGTGCGCCACACAAGGAATCCAGAAGATGTGCTTAACACTCTCATCCTTCTGGAACACCTCCATCGCAGAAACGTTGGAACTAGCCGAGTCTGTGACGAACGCGGTGATGTCTGCGAGCTTGATGTCAAGGAACTTCAACCTTCGCAGCCAAGCCTGCGCCAGAGCGGCGGCATCCTTCTTTCCTCGCATGACATCTGTCGCGACGTATGTCGCGCCCCGCGTGGTCCCGACGAGGTAGTTGCACAACGTTTGGCCCTGAATGTTGGTCCACCCGTCCGTCATGATCGTGCATCCGTAGGTTGCCGAAGTAGCAAGGACGGGTTTCACACACTTTTGAACTTCCGCATCAAGCTCATCCAAAAGCAAGGTACGGATCATGTATTATGTCGGGGGTTTCGGGGTGGGCAACCCAGGAACCCCAGGTGGGATGATCATTGTTAACATGCGTTCGAAGCTCTCAAGCTTCACGCAGTTGAACACCATGCCGCTCTCGACAAGAAATCGCATGATTTGCAGGTGTCATGCGTGCTCCAGTGGGTCGTTGTAATACGATGTCACCGCCTGCTGCCTGTAAGTACCCTTCACTCGTGCACCGGCGCCGCAACCTAGCGAATCCCACACCCCGCCGGCAGTCGCAGGTGATGCAGGTGGGTCTGGGCTTGGAGCAGCAATGTTGCGCAAATTTTGCAGAGGATCCAATGTCCCAAAAGAAACCGTGCTGCGAGGTCGGCGCTGTCACGGGCGCAGGAGTGGGTGATGAATCCGAAACTTGAATGGGCTCGTCGAGCGGGATGGTGCCAGCCCCCTCAGGGACCGTTGCGGCGGCCTCGCAAACAGGTGCAGAAGTGAAGTCTGGTGCCTGTCCACGTGTTTGCGAAGGAGGGGGCGGCAACCATGGATACGCAGCAGCCTGATGTCCCGTCGCGGGTGGTTCTGCCGCTGGGGGAGGTGGGGCTGCTCGACGAACTCTAGCAACCTTATCCCTGTTCGCGGTGAACACCGGGGCGAGGCCGCTCGATGTTCCAGGGCCCTTCCCCCACCCTCGACCCTCGACGAAAGCACGAGTCCCTGGCTCGTCGAACAGCACAGGTCCCCCGACATCCGAAACTGGTGTGGTGCCTTGCGCATCAGGCTGCGTCGGCACTGATGGAATGGCACGTGAGTCACGCATGCACCCACCGGGAACGGCACCATCAACGGGCGCTGCAGTCGTCGCATGAAGTGGTGCAGGTGAGACTGCCGCGGGACGAGGGGGGAGCGGAGCACGTGGTGCACGAGGAGATGGCGCCATCTAGGAGGGGGCGGAGGTGAAAGGAGGCAGAGGAACAGAGTCCTCGGGAAAACGAAGCGGTGACCATTGGAAAGAGGGATGACCTAGAGGAAGACTCTGCAAGGCTTGCACGGCAGAAGTCAAATGTGCAGGACATTTTGACATATCCTTAGACCAAATCGCGTGCCACACCGCCGGGGTTGCCACGGCGCATCTGTAGCCCTCGCCACGAAAAAAGTGTTTATTTGCATCGCGAGCACCCCCGCATATGGAACGCCCGCTTAACCTGCACACACAACGACGACCGTTCTTCCTCCCGACCGCACTGGACCCGTCCAAATAACAACCACAAGCAACAAATGCCAAACGGGGTCATCTCGTTTCCCATCTGCCTTTGGATCCACCTTGAAAGCGGAGTCAAAGGTCTTCGTGTTATGACCTTTTCTTCCACCGTCTGACCTCTTCCCTGTCGCCGAGGAGGACTCCACAAAGCCCTTCCCGGTGTCCCGTGGGGCGACATGTTGCGTAGGCTGAAGAAAGTGAAAAGAAGGGTAAACTGAACCGTGGAGATGGAGCCGACGATGAAGAACTGTGCCGAACATCCGACAAACGAACCTGAAGAAGATGGACAATCACCAGAAGGTACAAAAGTTCCATAACAACCACAACGACAAACAAGAGAAGGTACACAAGTTCCATAACAACCACAACGACAAACAAGAGAAGGTACAAACATAAAGACCCTTTTCTCCCCGAGTATTGAAAACACCGCTACAAATAAGAAAATAACAACCACAAGTTCAACGTCTTTAAAAAATGAAGAAGAAAATAAATAAACAAACAACCAACGGCATCCCGTCGATGCCAAACCTATATAAACCTTTCCTACTCATTCCACCCCATGCATCGCCGTCTATGGCGGCTCACCATCAGTGCCGCCACCAACAAAGGGAAAAAAAAAAAAAAAAAAAAAACACCAAATCCCACGCA